ATTAGGTAGATTAATGATTGCCTGGGGTCGGGGGTGAGACACAGGCAGTTGCATCCATCGAGGGTGCAATTCTGAATCTGGATTGTAGAGAGGACTACACAACTCAGTAACTTTACTAAAAATCATTGAATTGTAAATTATACCTCAATGAGTGATTTTTTTTAACACTTGCTACTTGTAAAAAATAAAATACTATGCAGCAGTGTTCTTACAGTTCGTGTAATTCAGGACAGTCTCACAGCCAATATTAAATGTAAAACAGACCACAGTAAAACCTGTAAGTGTATCCACATGCCCCGCAAATAAACAAACGCTTTGTGTTTTGTTTCTAAAGATCTGTTTCCTCTATCATGCGCCTTCCGATGAACACTATTCTTGGAGTTGCTCACAAAGGAATCCCTTCCATTCAAAGAGTTGCCTCTAAAAAAAGCCTTTTTCCTTGAGGTGAACTGAGGAAGGTTCTCACTTTCCTGAAACCCACCAACCACTCTACCATCGTCACCAGAGCAATAGAACTAATAACTTATCGAGAATTCATGATCTACCAGGCAGGACGTGTGATAAGCACTTACATACATTATTCTCCTTATCCTCATTCTAATGAGGCTTAAAGCTGAGCAATTCATCCAAGTAACCAATGTGTCAGGGAACTGAACACACGCTGTCCGGCTTCAGAGTCCCACACTCAAGCTCACAGCACCACACGTGCAGCAACAGGTCAACCAGATCTTACGGGTGGAATTACTCAATACTTCTACAGTTTAGTCTTTGCCCCCCAAATTTTAACTGTCTCTTGGGGAAATAACTAATTCTGAAAACGATTTCCTCTTCTAAACCCATCACACTCAGTGACTCATCTTCAACCACATATGACAGTGACACACACTTAAGAGTTAGAAACTCTTTTCTGAAATAAAGGGAAACAATGTGCTCTGTCTAAAGAAACATTATTGCACTTGTAAATCAAACCTAAAACAACTTGCTTGGGGAACACAGGAAATTTCACCATTCCAGGTGTGGATTATTTACAACGTCCAGGCCAATCACTGTTTCAGGAAAACACGGCCTGCAGCTATTAATCTCTCTGGTAAGCATCTGGAAGTTAGGCCTCTGATTTACTCACACAAAGAAAATCTGTCCGTATAATAGGTGCTAATCAGCTTAACACCTTGTAGCTTCCTCACTAATTGAGGACTCTTCTCAATTAGGAGAGTTAAATGGTGTTTCAGACCCTCGGGAGGGGGGTGGAGCTTTCAGGACCACAGTACTATGAATCAGGGTTCACAATATTCAACCCCTCAAATCTTCCCCCAAACAGGGAAACACATCAGCAGGTCTCCCAACACAAACAGAGGGTGAGAAGGGGACACGTTAGTGAAATAGCAAAGACTCATGTTCTCTCTTACAACAAGGGAAAAAAAGTAACTAAGAACTCCAAGAAAAATAAAAACACCATCCAAAGATGAAGCGATTTAAAATGTGGCATGAATTTGAACAATTTTATTCAGCTTAAGAGTTCATTTGTCCTGGTCAATATGAATCTTCTCTTTCAAGTGGTACTTGGGTTGACTCTGAACCCAAAGAGGAGAAATAAAACCCTAAACACTACTTTGCTTCCCAGTCAGAATAATGTAATAAAATGTATTGGGTTTTCAAGCTTTTATTATAAACTAAAAGACAAAGCTTGCAAGGGTACAGATAATTATAAAATAAAATGGGCTATCAATATGGACAATTTAAAACTAAAAGCAGAGCTAACAGCTGGAGCACAGAGAGAAAAATGGAAAAAAAGAGTAAGAATAATTATATTCTCATACTAGACTATGGAAAGTTGATGAAAAAATTTTTAATTTAATGTTGATTCTATAATCTACAATAGTATGCTAATTTAAAATACATTATTATAAAGGCATTTAAATGTTAAAGATATTTAAGTTTATGAAATAAAAAACATAAACATCAAAACAGAATAGACAACACACAAGAATATATGATATTACTTTTAAATAAAAATTCAAAAGTAGGCAAAGCAAATCTACGGTGTTAGAAGTCAGAACGGTGGCAGGCTTTGAGGGAGATCATAGCCGAAGGGAAGACACAGGGGGGCTTCTGGAGAGCTGGTATTGTTGTGGTTTGATCGGTTACACAAGTGTGTTCACTTTGTGAAAATGCACTGAACTGTACTAATAATGTCTGCCCTTTTCAGATTGTTTTACTCCAATAACAATTTTTAAAAAGAAGAAGAAACAGGAGGAGAAGGAGGGTGAGAGGGAAGAAAGAAAGGTTCAGCAGTGTCCAATGTCAATAAGTCTGGAAACCAAGAAACAAGCCTATTACTTATAAGAATTAAAACAAACACTGTCTTTAGGCATGACATTAATATTCTGTCCAACACTTATGACTTTTGATAGCCCTGAGCAAAGTAAGGATTCACACTCAGACTTCTATTCAGTGTGAGAAAGCGGAGCTGCCGACTCAACACACATCTGTTTCCTTTAAAATATATGCTAGTCCTGGACTAGTTTCACATGAACTTGATGACTTTTTTTTCTGGACTACTGAAAGATTAAACTACCATGATTAAACATTTAAACAAGTGAGCTATTGGTATATATTAAAAATAGAGCTCCACTTAGGATTTTCCCTAGCTTATCACTTGTACTGGGTATCAGAATTAAAAGGAGCACATCAGGGAGGCAAGGAGCTGGAAAGAGAAAATGTAACGAACAACAAAAACAGCTCTGTAATTGCAAGAGAGTTACTACAAAGCACAGTTATCTATCCTAACTTAATAATTAGCAACAATAGAAAATGTATGTAAATAACAGACTACAAAATATCTTTTTAATCTTGCCACTGATAATACTGTTAACTATCATAATTGATTCTTCTACCAGAAATTATCCTGGATGCAATATCAGTAACTAGAAAACAGCCAAAAAATCATACCTCCAAAACATCTTGGAAGTGAAATTAAAATTTTTTTCATCCTCTCAAATTTTCATTTATCTGGTATTTAAATTTCTTTGTAGAAAGACTCAGATTTAATATTCTACAGAATTTCATCCAATTGATTAAATCAAAGGGCCTCAATTAAACTGCCAACAATAATTTTTCGGGAAAATGACTAGTGACTTCAGAGCACACGTGGAAATGTAATCAGATGTGAACAGCCATAAAAGTTCTAAATGAAAATGACAAAGAATCTGTGTGAATATTAAGATCTATAAAAATACAATGAAATATATAGCACCATTGCCAGAAGAGACAATCAAAGGAAAAAAAGAGTCCAACAATAAACTCAAAAATGTGATGTAATTTGGACATAGCACTCAAATCAGTAAAGACAGATGATTTAATAAATCAAGTTGAAACAACTGGCTAGCCTTTTGCTTAAAAAACAGAGGGCTCCCTAACATCCCTAGACTTTTTCATTTTTTTATTAATATGGAGATTTATAACACACGCTTTATACTGAAATTAATTACAGATAGATCAAAATACTAAAAAGTCAAAGATCTAAAATGGGTCTCAAGAGGGCGAAGCAGCTGAGTGTGTAAATCCGGCTGTGTGGGAAATGTGGTGAACTAGAAGGCATCCGTGCTTTCCCAGCCTTTCTTTAAAGCAGGTCTCTCTGGGGCAAGCTGACAAAGCAGGTGTCTGCAAGAGGGAATGAGGTGGAAGTTTGGGAGTTCTGGCTGGGGAGAGCAACATCTCTGCTCACCTGAAAAGAACGGATGGCACACCACTTGACAAGTTCTGAATTAGAAAGCTCACACCTTCTCTCAAAGAGCAGTAACTACCATCCGAGTGCTCCTCAACACTGTTCAACCTTAAATTTTTCAAGAGAAGACAGGAGTCTAGATTGTCATGTAAAAATCCTTGGCAGATATATATTTTTTAGAACACTGTGAGGGGCCAAATGAAACCCATCTGTTGACCAGATCTGTCCCATTGGCCACCAGCTTACAAGTTCTGACTGAAATGCAAAAAACGAAACCTTTCAAGTGCCAGCAGAGAACACATGACATTCTTTTCACAATCTTGAAGTAGGAAAGACCTTTCTAAGCACAATCAAAACCAGAATCCATAAAAGACAAGACATTTAACAACATAAAAATGTAAAACTTATGTGGAACCGAATATTATGAACAAGCCTAAAAAAAAGAAAAAAAAAACACGAATGATAACAGATTCCCCTCTGGCTCTAGCAGAATGTGGACTGCTGCAGCCTGGATTACACGCTTTTCTCTGTGAGGCAGGAGAGTGTACCAAGTTGAACAACAGGACCACCAGGACCACCTGGAATACAGGAAGGATTTCCTAAATGAACCAGAAAGGAAGAGGCAGTAGGAGAGTATCAGGATGGTCCAGAATTACAGTCTCCATCATCTATTACTCGATAAAAATGTCTCCTACTTTCATATGTATTTGAATATCTCATAGTATAAATAAAAACTGATCGGTGATATTTAGAATTCCTTCTGGGTATCAGACGAGTTATTCTTAATAACTGCTTCAGAATGTAAATACACTCCCCTCAACCAACCCTGACTGTGTACTATATGCAAGGCAGTTAACTATATGTACAGAGTTGGAGGGAAAGACGTGAAAGTCATAAAATGTAACTGACAGAATTCCCTGATTCAAGGCTCTCATAAGACAGATTTCATCATGACATTTGTTTCAGCACAAGCTGAATTGTGAACATTTTCCCAATCAGTGTGATATGGACCAGTACCTTGAACACAGAATTAAGATGCTAATCTAACATCCATGTGTTAAGAAACGAGTTAAGAGACTCAGCGAGCACTAGATTGAAAGAAAGCATACAGCCAGTCTAACAGGTTTGATTTAACATAGAGAAAACAAATTTTCATATTTTCCTGCACCAGAGAGTTCATAAGTCACAAAAATTAAAAGGACCAAACTTATTCTCTGAAAAATAGATTATAAAATTAAATATTATCACATCTTTGAATCATGGATTTCACAGTTACCTGTTGCCGCTGCTGTTGACCCTTTCGGTAAATGCCATTGCTGCCAGTCAGTGGAAAGCGATGAATCTATTCATCTGAAAGAGAAACAGCAGCCTGTGAAGATCAGCCCTTAAGTAAGCTCACCGGTACACCTGACCTGCAAGAAATCTTACTGGAGACAGAATTCAGAGTTCTCATTTGAATAAGAGAATGTTTCTTACCAAGTTGCATGTACACACTGACTAGCATATAGCAAAGGGCAAATGCACTTTTAGTTTTAAGGCTGCTACTCAAAGCAATTTCAGCAAGGGAAAAATGTGCACAAATTTATCATGAGGAGGAAGAAAGGAAGTGACATTTCCCCAGTGTCTACTTTGTGCCAAGCATTGTGTAAAGCCCTTCTGAAAACGACATTTCATGTAAACATTAAAGTTGTAAGGTACATACAAATACCACATGTACTAAATAGTCCATTTTATATATAAGTATATATGTGCAGTTTGCCTAACGTAACAAGTGGTCTTAACAACCGCACCACAATCAAAAGGAAAAAAGGTAAAATAATATGGATGAGAAAGAAAATGAACAGTTAATCATCACATAAGAATTCAACACTGAATTTCAAAAGTGGGCCGAGTTTTCGATGAGGCAAGTTTTCGATTTTGTTTCCACTCATAAAAGATATTTAATCCCCAAAGCAATTCTGGAGCATTCTCTCAAAACAGTACTGGTTAAAAAACGTTGTTATCCAACCTGGGCAGATGGCCTTGGTACTATCTTGTATATCTCTAGAAACCAGCTCTCTATGGTCAACACTATCAACAGCTGTTTCCTTTTCCCTTCCTTGTATGTATTTGTGAATTTACTGCTCTTATCCTAACTTGCTTTAAATAGTTCCTATTTTTTCAGACATCCTTAAGGCAAAGGGTATGTTACTAAATTATCTTAGCACAGATTTAATAAATTGATACAAATGGAAACATGACATTTCATTTGTAGCAATTTTAGCTAGCCGGCTATGTTTAAGAGGCTAACTGTTATACTTTTTGCCTAATGCTGGAGAAAAACCAAATGAGAGTCCTTCAGCTCTACTGGGACTCCTGATAACGTCTTTTATCTCTCTCTTTCCATGAAATTAAAATTGCTGACTTGCTGACCACAATGTTTTCATAATAGTAGATTTCATTTGTCACTATCTCCTCCCCCAAAAGAATGCAACATGGATGTTACAAACATTCTAATTAAACTCACACTAGAGCTCTGAAATTTTCAGGGCCAAACATGCTTTGGAGTAGGATACTCCTCCAACCAGCTGTAGTGGCCCTAGACAAGTTTCCTAAACTCTCCAATTCAAACCCCAATCGTCTCCCTCCCACACCAACCCTGTTACTGTCTCACCTTCCCTCTCTCAAACACTTTTGTTTCTCTTCCTGCTCTTCTTTTCCTACCCTCCTTTCACCCCGCCTTCCTCCCCAACTTCACTTTCTCTCTCTCTCTCCTCCTACCCTTCTATCTCACTGCTCCCCGCCCCCACCCCCCATGCTCTCTCACTTTGCCTCTTGACTTGCAGGGCTGGCACACAAGTGATCGATAAAATAGTAGGCATTCATTTTGGCATTAATCTTCCTAACACTGTAAAGGCTTCTCAAGAGTCCACGATGGCTGTCCCCAGCACAACCCTTCCAATGAAGATGCCCCATCTACTTGCAGCCCAACAGCAGCCACCCCGGGGGCCCACTGGTGGAGAATGAGAAAGTACTATGGGAGGAGGCAGGCTGGGCTGTTGCGGGAGGCCAACCTGAGAGAGTGGTCCTGAGTTCACTTGTTCTGCTCATTTACTCACTGAGCCAACAAATATTTCCTGAGCATCTACTGTGAGAGAGAAGGAAACAGGCACTTGCCATCACTGAGTTTACAAACTACAGGAGGTGAACAAAGATGACATATAATATACAGACATTAGATTTTAAAAGGTATTATAGAGAAAAACAAAGTGAAAAGCGAAGAGTGCCAGAGAGGAAAGGAGGTAAGGTGTTGCAATTTTACACAGAGTGGTCAGAGAAGGAAACATTTCAGCAAAGGCTTAAAGGAAGGGAGGAGCAAGCCATGCAGAGAATAGTAAACGAGGGTCTAGCACTCTGGGTGTCGATGTTCATCAACTGTAACAAATGAACCGCTCTAAGTGGGAGATGCTTGTTACAGGGGAGCCCGGGGGAGGGCAGTGAGGTCTACCGGAAAGCCCTTCCATTCAATTTTGCTGAAAGAAAGGAGGGAGGGAGGAAGAGAAAGAAAGACAGGAAGGAAGGAAGAGAGGGATGGAGGAAAGAAAAAAAAGGAAGGCAGGCAGGCAGGCAGGCAGACAGATAGCCTATTTTCTTTTAATGGTCCTAGAAACTGATGAGTCCAAGACTAAAGGAGTCAGCTGAATCCCTGGGTCTCTCTACTGGTTTCTTGGGTAGATGAGTCAAGTACAAAGTGAAAGACATATTCGAGGAATCTGGCCCCTTCATGCAGCCAGTGCCTCGTCTGCACAATTCAAATTCGTAACTTTGCATGGAGGCTTGATCCTTTCCCACGGAGTCAGGGGCAAGGAGGCAGCATTGCCAGATTATTGACTCTTTAAGTCTCGCAGGAACGACCAAATTCAGCCTATGGAAGTTTGCTTGGGTGATGATGTACATATGATTTGCACAGCTGCATGGAGAGCAACCCAGATACAAGGTTAGTTAGGCTAGAATGGAGATCTTTTGTAGCCAGGAAGTTATTACCCTAAACCGCTGCTAAGAAAGGCAATTAGTATATGCTTCAGTTAATGTCTCCTTCAAAGACTTTCTTAAAAATACTCACATTTGTACAAGGAGATTTGTGCAATAAAATGTTTATAATAGCAAGAAAACTGGTAACAACCTAACACCTACCGTCACAGAAATAGTTAACAAATTATGATACATCATAATGAGATGCAATATAGCATCAAAAAGAATAGGTTTCTCCAAACAAGATGCTGAACAAAATGCACAATGTGAGCCAATTTGTTTAAAAAGAAAATGCTTTCTTTTTATATTTATGCATAACACATACCCATATAACACACACGCACACAACCACTCTCTGGAAAGGGGCACTTTCATCTTTTATTATGCATACTATGAATCCTTTATTACCTGTGTAAACATTTTTCTTTCTAAATATGGAGATGGGGGGAATGGAGGTCCCAGATCATAAATATTGAAATCAGAAGTTCTTCCCAAAGTTTTCACACATTTTTATATCACTGTCACAAGATTATAAAGACAAAGTAGAATAATAAATGAGGGGGCAGTTTAAAGTCCTTCCATTAAAACAAGTAGGGAAGATACGAACTCGGCTCTATTTAAAAGACAGAGCAGGGCTGTATAACACACAGAGAGTAAGTTCAAGGGAGACAGGTGATCACTTCGGGCAAATTAAGCCCTACCAGCCTCAGTGATGCTCCCATCTGTAAAATGGAAAACAGCCTCTTTTACAGAGATACTGAGGAGAGTGCTTTGTAACAGCTAAGCTAAAACGTCCAGCACACTGACATACGAAAAGCACTCAATACACAGCAGTTCTTATTTAAGTCAGCAATGTCTATCTTACATTTTATGTAACTGAAGCAGACTAAATTTCATGTAGGCATGTACCCTGCCAGATTTATTTAAGTGACCCTTCTATAGTCCTTCCAGCCTCTTGCAATGCAAATTTATTCAGAAATTAAAATGTCATGTATATCAAACTACTTTTCCTCCCAAAATAGCAGGTAAAACATTTCAAGTAAATTTTTTTCTTGTTTTTTTTAAGTCTTACACTCACACCATACACATATATAATTATATAATTACAATTAAAAAAAAAAGGAGGAAGAATACCAAGAAATGATTCAGGATATTTTCAAATATTTCTGTTCTAGGTCATTAAGTGCTTCCAACCCTGTATTTCTGGGGAACCTGCTCTTAGGAATCTTTGTGATATGCTGGTTAAAAGGCCTGCTTTACAACCTACCAGCTATACGAAAATCAAGAAATCACTGTTCTTCCCCAAGGTCTCAGCCTCTCATCAGTGATACGGGGCTTCATGGGGTTGTCGGAGGGTTCAATAAAATGTGTGCAAGATTTTTAGCACAATGCCTGGCTCATGGTAAGCACTCAATAAATGATTGTAGTAGTTGTTCTGGTTATTTTTCTGCCAACCAAAGCACATGCTTGAGACAAGCCATACATTAGAGAAGCTTTTCAACTAGACAAACAGTGCTAAGCAGATCTCAAAGCCCCATGACCATGACCCAGTTTCCAAAGGGGAATATGAGGAAAATAACGATCCAGAAGCCAGAGGATGCACCGTCTGGTCAGTAGTCGCTAGTCAGATCCACTTCCCCTTCTCCACACATACCCTTCAGGAATAACAGTCTCTTGGTAACTGGCAAAGTGTCAGGAATGAGTCATGGGTCATACACTGTTTTCATCTGAATTCTCCAGAAATTTACCACAAGCAGCTCATAATCTCCCAGGGCCCCAAAATGACTTGATCACCTGCAATTCCTTTAGCTCTCCAGTGCCACACGAAGCCCACAAGCTTAGAAATCCACAATGGAATGTGATTTCTCCAACTATCTCTTCTCTACTTCAAATCCTCTCTCTAGGGGGCTCTGATGTTGCCCCCACACTCAAGTATGCATCCCCCATGTCATCAGCTCCCTCCCATCATTCAGGTCTCAGATCAATGACGCATTCTCAGAGCAGCTTCCCCTGAATACAGCTGCCAGCATAGCAGCGCTGTGCCCTCCAGCCAACCCATGCTCACTCCATTGTACTCCATGTGTGTCTAGCTGCAAGAACCACCACTTAATTATCAGAGATTTACACTTCTCCCACAGCAAGTCTAGAGGAGGGTGGCTACTGGTGTAATTTTAGCTGTTCAGTGAGGCCGTTGGGAACGCTGGCTCTTTTTGCTCCACCATCTTTTAGCATGTTGCCTTTGTGTTTGTCATCTCATGGCACAAAAAGGTTGCTGCCAAAACCAGACATCTTATCAACACTCCAGGCTGGTAGATGAGAGGAGAAAGGTGCAGCTGTGT